TATATATATACTACATGAACTTTAACCTTTTTTCTATTATTACTTGTGAAATTCATCATTAAATTTATGCAATTAACGTTCTATGCTTTTTCTTACCTTCATCTCATATTTACTCTACAGGTCAAAATAATACTTTTTACAATAATTGTCTGTAAAAAATATTACAGTTTTACAACGGTATTCCCCTATCATCAAAGAGTATTCCAATGTCGAGATGTATTTTTGTATAGGCCAAACTTTGGTCCAGAAGACTTCAATGTCTATGTATCTTATGGACTTCTGTATACACTTGGATTCACATTACCGCCTCTAGTTGTACGACAATTATTCTTTCAAATTTTTTTGTATTTGTATTTGCATGATTTACTAGTGAACTTAAAAAGACATGGTTTTAACAATAAATTTTTCGGCAGCTGATTGACTAATTATATTTATTTTACAAAAAAAAAAATTATGAAGGCTGTTGATATAGAATCTACTAAAAATGAAGAATTCTATAAGTACTTTTCACTTTCAAAGTTACTATCCATTAACTAGACAAATATATTTCAGATATTTATTGGTGAAGTAATGTTTTGGTTATTTTCTACAAAACCAAGAAAAGTAATTTACGCCAGTTGTGGTGAATGCAAAGTTCATTTGTTTACCCGGCGTCTAATGCGTTTCATTGGTCAGTTAGTGGAATTAGCGAATTTGCAGAATTCAGGCAATGAGAAATTGGAGTTTCAAATCTGCAAATGCTAAAAAATTTTCAATTTTTGACAAGATTCAGCTTTCATCAAAAGATATTTAAATAATCTGGATATTAATCATAAATTTTCGTCAGAATGATATTTATAATGCAGTATTAAAAGACAGGATTTTATTTGAAACTTATGGAAGATATATATTTGTTTAAAAAATATGGAATAAAAAAAGACTTTGCTGATTTTTTCGGCAGCATTATTCATTTGCAGCTGTATTTATGTTTGGTGCGCTTATAACACAAATATTTGTTTATACGATCAAATTCATGACTGGTTACCATCGGCCATATTTTTTGTCGCTTTGTAAACCAAATATGAGGTTAAATAATTTACTGATATTCCCTTCATTTACATTCAAACCGCTTCGTGATTCTTTTTGTTGATTTCGTATAAACAACTGACGGAATTTGGAGTATTAGATTTTATATATGCAGTGAGCAAGACCATACTAGTAACTTGAGATCAAGTAGTTACTTCGAAATACTGTTATTACCTTGGTTCACAATAAGCATTTTAAGCTTTATCGTAAACTTTTCATAAAAACAATAGGAAAAAGCTGGAATTTGTATCATTTTTATGCATAATACATGGAGAAATGTTCAACATCTGAAAAGTACAAAGTTTTTTTATGAAATTGGGAAAAAATCATTCCCTTCAACTCACTGTTTGTAGCAATGTGGATAATCCAAAAAGAATTATTACTTTTTATGATCAGTAATATAGTATGTGGTTTGGACTTTTGAGATTATTTTATACACTAAGGCGCTGCATGCATGCATAAAAGATATGATGATTAAAGAGAAAATTAGTTATGGAATTTCCTGTTTTATTAATTATATTAAGGTAACCTCGGCTTGTTAATTTTTATGCTTTTTACATCAGAATGAAGCAGAAAAATTTTAGTGCATGCACTGCACCATTAGAGCAGTCCCCATCACCATCGCCAATATTGGCTTGTTTGTATCGAAATCCATATGATCTACGTTATGCTTCTTTATCATTCCCGTCACTTCACGCTGCATTCTCATCTTTTTCGTGTATCTTTGCTTCAGTGAGTTTATCCATTTTATTTGTTATCAAAGTCAATTTTTAGTTGCAATTATTTAACATGAAAAGATGCAGAAATCAAAAAATTTCAAACTATAACTCATACTTATATTGTTTATTTCATTTAAATTTTATAGACTTAAAACATGCCGTTGTTTCTCCACTAATGTTTTATTATTTTGAAGTCTATATAAAAATAGAATTGAAATTTAAAAACTAAGTTTTTAATTTGTAAATTCTCACTCAGTCAGCATACCTAAATCTCCATGACAGTCATGCTTAACAGCCAAGCATTTTTGTTGCTAAACAATGCAGATTCAAACATCTTTGGTTGTACATTTTTTCTTTCCCTCAGTGAAAACTAATTCGTTTTGTTTACAGTGTTATATTTACTATATGATCAGCGTGCGTGGTGCACCACTTTTGAGACCATTTTTGATATTCGGCTTCCTAGGTCTCACGATCGTTGCTTCATTTTCGCGGATAAATGGTTATAAGAATCACTGGAGAGATGTTTGGGTTGGATGGCTAATCGGTTTTTTTATCGCATTATTTTTAGTAAGTGTACTCTACTTTTTTCAATTCTCCTACTATGTTCAGAAAATTTTTGAATTGTTTTGGCGCACTGAAAAAGGTATTTTTATTCTTTAGTTTGCATTCTATATTTCTCAGTTTTCATATTTTATCGGCTTCAAACTTTTTTATTCTAACGTGCAGTATATTTCGTACCACGATTTTTTCCTTCACCAAAATTTCATTTTCATATTTCAAAATTAATTTATTTAAAAATCATTCAGAATAATTTATCGAATTGCTTTTGAATTAACTGATTAACTTTCAGTGTCACTGTGTACTCTGTTTTCAAGAACACTATCATTTTGAAACGGAAAAACCAATGATATTGGAAGAACGTGTGAGCCCATTTTTTCAGTGGTTTCGATTACCACGCATACGTGCGCCTTCTTTAAAAGAAGAATACACGTAAGTTCCAAAAGTGAAATAATTAAAGAGCAAAATGTACGCTTGCTAACTGTTCCGAACTGTTTTAAAATGTGAACTGGAATATGAACTGTTATTAAGACGAAAATTTGAAGAAAGGATTCATAAAACAGACATTATTAAATAATTTATAGAGTTTATGAAGAAGATTTGCCGCATACAACAGCAAACCAAACGCCATCTGCTGCACGTCATCGTCGAAATCAAGATCGCACTTATGAAGTCACTACAACAACCGAAAGTTTTCATCGCACCATTTCTCCTCCACAACAACAGCAACAAAATGGTTTTAGTGGTTACTGAGTAAGTTACAATTTATTAGCACATTAGTCACATCCATGTTTATCTTTATCTTAACTTTTTTTTCATCTCAACCAATCAAAGTCAAAATGGAAAATGTCTACATACACTATTCATATTCCTCTTGTAGTGAAAAATGCTAAAAAATTCTATTCTTCTTGCTCTGAAAAAAAAACCCTAATCTCTCCTTTCCAATCTCGTTCAATATCTGATGACTTTGCCAATACTAGTTTTTGCATAAAACGTTACAAAAACGTGTCCCGCTATTTCTTTCATATATTTGTAATGAAAAAAGATTGTGAAAGAGTCTAATTATTGGTCGTAAGACGAGAAACAGATTAAAAATATGAGTGATTTCAGTTTTAGTGCAAAAATGTCAGATTACTTGCTCGGATGATTTTGTGTGTATTAAAAATTGCATAGAGAGGGCAACTATATGATTATTCAAGCTCTTCAAATAATACGATTTGAAATTATATTTCTTTGATTTCAAACAGTTCATCACATGCCAGTATTTTGATTATGGTTTTGCGCATTTATATTCCCATTCTTATGAAAGTAAGCCAGTAGCAGGTGATATTACAATTGCTCTCATGAGTATGATGACTGCCACTGATAATGATGACATTTTCCATTTTCTCAGTCAGATCAAATTCGTATTCGTTATTCATTTATTTGCAAGTAAAGTTAAGTTGCAAACAAATCTCCAAACGTTTACACTGAGATGACATAGGAGAACTATAAGATGTAGTAAATTAATTGGTTGATATTTACACTATTTTTTTGCCACTTATTTCTGTTTGCAAGAAACGAAGTATGAAAATCACAGATTTGCGTAGGAAATTTTTATATATTGTTTTCCATCATGCGAGAGACAAAAAAAATAAGAAAAGAAAAACGTATCCATTGAATTCAACTTACTAGAATTGAGTATTGAACTTAATTTGTTAGTTATAATCGAATCCTTAGACAAATAATGCCTTTTTCTCGACGAGCAAGAATTTAAATTGTGTCACGACTATAATCATAAGGTGTTACTAAATTTACTAGTATCAGTGAATTGAACACAAGTTGAGCAACCTCATCAGTTACTGCCCAAATTTTCAACCAGTTTGATTATAAACCATCAGTATCATTAACTGTTGATTTCAGCCTGTTGGGTAGTAATTTCAGGTGCATGTTGGGTTTTGTTTTATCTAGTTGGCAGTGTTTTTTTACGACTGAATTGTGTCTGCACCTGAAAATTTATTTGTAGGCATATGGCGGCATTTTTCTCTTCTTTAGCGTGATATAGAAATTACCAACTTTAAGGTTTTCTTGTCAGCAGTATCGTTATCACACTTAAAAATAATCAGCATATTGTAAAAGTTTTAAAAAATTCTTAAGAAGGATAGACTTTGTACATTGAGAATCTTTAGCGGAAAATTTAAAAAGTTGCTCATTAAATCAAAAAACAAGATAAAACAAGAAATACCTTTTTATTTTAACAAAAACGTAACCAATATTAGTAAATTACTAACAGATGAGCAATCCGCTGCAAACGTTTATGATTCAATGGAGATAACTTTCGAGCAAGTGCATTTCGGGTACAGCTGTTTATTGCACAGAAAAGGCCAAACGTTGCGCAAGAATTGAGCAATGACAGTATGTCAAATAAATCACCAATAAATTCAGAGTCCGCAAATAAATCACTTACACCTACCAAAGATGTTAAGACTGACAACACACCTTGAGGTAGCTCTACGACCACAAAAAGTACCATAATTATCTAAAAAACGAGTTTTCTATGTTTCAAATATATTCACTTTCAAAATAAAAAATTCTTATATGGATTGATAAGCAAAAACTTAGTACAGCACACTGATTATTTTAAGTGCTAGTTGCAGTAAACCAAAAATGCCATTCAATGTTGCATGAAATTTTAATACTTCCTTTGAAAGTTATTTAAGCTGTAAGTATCAAGATCAAGGATCTGAATAGGTAGGTATTTCAGCATTCTCGATATAAAATTTAAAAATAACTCTGAGTCCATGGTTTGCTTCTGGACAGATTTTCAATTTTTTCAAGAGAAACAGTTTATTACTTCTCACACTCATTTTATATTTGCTGACTGAAAAATAAAATAATTGTCAGTGTAGTTTATTTTATAGCAATTAAGTTTCAACTGTTTTGCACTTTTTATAATAATTTAATAAGAAGCTGAGTTTCGAGACGAAAATTGTAATTTAAAAAAATATTTAACAGCACTAACAAAAAATTTTTGACAACTTTTGAAAAATTTGTAATTCAAATGCAAATTATGGTTATTTGTAGCATAAAGATTGGATTTATTTTTTAAGATTTTTCAGAGCATAAGATTTATTTTTTAGTTCGCTACTTTTGCATAGCAAAAAAAGTAGCCTTTTTTATACCAAGATAATATACGTGATTCGTCGATGTCTTCGCTCACGCGTTGGTGATGTGAATCTGATAGAGAGTAAATGAATTTCTCGTAGTTTTTGAATCAATAGTACACTCATTATCACCAAGAGAGTACATGGAATTAGCTTGCAAATAGTGCCTAGAAGCCAGAAGTTTATTCGACCAAGAACGGTATTCATAGCAATAATAGTGAAACCAAGCTCATGTGCTGAAAGATTGTTCATTTCCGGATATTGTGTTGAACATTCGATGTGTGATGGTACTTCACGAACTTCAGAATTAAAAAAGAAAGGTACGCAGAATAGCGCAACACTGATGTTAATGAAGAGTATGGTACGTAGGCATTTCTGAAAAACTTTTGTATTTCTTTTTGGAGATATTTTAATAAGTACTTTAGAGATAGTCTTTCTTTTCTAAATTCTTGATTATTTACATCTCTAAAGTTTAAGTAAAGTTTTTATTTGCCATCATAAAGATCAAAATTATAGCGAAAAAAACACAGAATTTTGAATATTTTGAGAACAAACTAACATTGTAACTGAACCATGGCCTGAGAGATTGTATTTTAAGCAGCTGTTTTAGTGAAATGAAACGAATGATAGATAATGTAACCACATGGAAAACACCACTCATGTGAAACACCACTGATACATTCACCGAAACCTAAATAAATATATGGCCAGCAAAATTAATCAGCTAATTTTACAGCATTTAATTTTTTGTCATGAACATTACTCAATAGATTTATATCAGAAACCACTTGATATGAAGTATGCAGTTTGCCACTTCTTATGAATAAATCAGTAGCAGTTTCATTAAATTTACAAAACCTTGTTAAAGATGTGATGTAGACAAGTATTTCCGTCATGTTTCAATAGTTCTTCTTTTAATGAATTTGTATTCATTACTCATTTAAGGTAGGATACTCCAGTTTGTCAATACTGGAAAACATTGATTTCTAGTATAGATTAGGAAAGAGATTTGGACTAGCAATTTTTATGCTAATGTAATGAAATTTTTTCACTTCGCATCTTTAACAAAGTTTTTATAAGTTTAATGAAATTTCTATTGATGGAATTCACATTGATTTCTTTTCACTTTGCTAATTTTATTCGCTTACTTTGATCAGCAGTGACGCAAAGGAGTAAGTAACACGTTCATTTGACGGCTTTGTCAAGAAATTTTATATCGAAAATTTCGATAATATTGATTATTTGGCAACACTTAGCAAATAATGAATATCTTAAAAAAGATACTTAACCCCTACAAAGTAATTGCATTTGGAAGAAAACCAATACCAATAGCGTGGAAACCCATGCGTGTGACCAAAGTTGAGAAATGCAACACACATCACTGAGATACTTAAATAAGCTGGAGTAGAAGAAATTCGCCGATAATACTACCTGGGAACTGTAAAATTTTTAGATGTAACTGCTCAGTTCATCACCATTGTATTTGTAATTCAAAAGCTTTATTTTGAATCAACTTTTGAAGAAACTATAATTCAGAATTTTTGAAATGCTCTCCTACTCCAAAGTAATTCATTTATATTAATTACTCGCACTAATAATGCTCAGAATGTAAAATAAATATATCATTTTTTTAACTTTTTTTCTTCCCATGTACAAATTGCAATTGCCCTCACTACAACAATTACCAAGTATTTGCATTAAATAATGTTTATATTTCATGAATGAGTTTACTTTAATTCCTTCATGTTTTTCTTCTCAACTAAAGTGATACATCAATGCACTAGATGTAAACAAGCAGAAAAAGTTGTTGTTGTTTTTGTTTTTTATTTGAAATAACTGAATTCTAAATATGCAGTAGGATAGCAAAAGTATTCTAGATCACTAGTTACTGCTGTCCTCTCGAAAAGAAGTATTACTTGTTTTTCTTAAAAAATTTGTTCTCACTAATAATAAATTTTCATTTTGTCTTGTAAATGATTCGTTAGCACTAAGCACTCCACCAAAAAAGAAAAAAATTGGAAAGGAAAATTATAAATTTCTGCTTTGATTTTATGAATTTTTTTGTTTGTTTTGATTTTCAACAGGCTTGCTTTTTTATTGGTAATACAAATAATTTTACATTTTTTACTAGTAATACTAATATTAGTTGCAGGTGTACAGGATAAACGATGAATGATGTACTAGAAGTCCAAAAAATTGTTCACTTTTCAATAAAATTTTTTTAATCATGTTAACTCTTTCTATCATTGGAATAAGTAACAAAAACATGGCTTCGGATCCTTTTCATGATATTTAAGTTTGAATTAGAGGACTGAAGTTAGACTGAAGTTAGAAAAGAAAAGTTAGAAAACGCGTCTACTTTTTTGTGACTATTAATTTCCTGTTAACTTCAACAACAAAAGACTTCTTTCAACGCAACAAATGAATTTGTAATGCATAACTGCAAATGACAAATATATCTTTTTTTAATTACGTTCTTTATATCAAAGCTTTATCGCAGTTAATCACTGCTTAGAAAATTATTTGTAAAAACGTAAAATATAGAAAATTAAAGCAAGCTTTGTACTTATATGAAACTTCCTGCAACCTGAATAAAAGGTTCAGTCAGTAACAAAGGCTGTTTAAGCTAAATGAATTTTTTCATCTTTAAAATTGAATAGAAACATGCTTCGAATATTATTTATAGTTTTAAAAAGTTTTAAATACTAATTGACTAAAATTATATTGAAATTTTTTTGAACTACAAAATGAAATATTTGTTTGCATAATTTGGTGCTTTAATATTTATCTGTACGAAACTATAATTTAATAAGAATAGATCAGATGGAAAGAAAACATGCTTATTTTTACGAATATCGAAGGAATTTGAAGAGATAGCGCGGCGACACTTGATCGAAATTAAATTTCTGAATAACTAGCTAATAAGCTAACAGCTAAGTTACTCCCTTAAAGTTCGGCATAGAAAATTTTCTCTCAAAAATGAGTAATACTTATTTTCGACTTTAGTAATTCAAAAGAATTTTTTGGTAAGATAATTGTAATTACACAGGAGAGGCTTATCCGTTATTAGTTTTTGCTTCAAAATGCAAAATACTATAAAGTATATTGTGTGAAATGTAAAAAAAGATTATACCACGACATGCTGATCAGGAATAAGTTGTTGGGACTAAGCACTGAATAAAGTATATAAATTGAAACCATATGTCCAGTTATGCTGGCAGTACATAATACCAAAATACTGGCTGTTTTCAAATGTTCTTTAAGCAACACTTCATTGCCTTCCGATGACATTGTAAAAAAACGACAGTAGTGATAGCGATATTGATAATCGGAAAAAATAGCAGCAATAAAAGTGCGTCTTATTTCTATTTCATAGTAAGTATGATCTAAATAGTGAAAGTTAATTCATCTATATAAGAGCTCAAGTAATAACGATAAAATATGATTCGTAATGAAGTAAAAAAAGGTCAGATGAAAAAAGTGCCAAGAAGCGTAATTTGTTGGCATTTCTTCATCTACTACTTGACAATAATAATAGCACTGAAATTGCTTTAATTTTCTAAGAGCAATCTGATGCAAAATTATATTATACCATTAAAATTATGCGAGATAGTAAATAACTTTCAGATCAAGAAAGCAATAAAGCCGTTTGTATCATAATAAAATGTTTATTGGGAAATTAAATATTTATAGTCTACAATTTTACTGTATGAATTTGAAAGAAAAAAATATTGAAAAAAATATTGAAAAATAATTGGGTTTTTAAGCGTTAAGTATTAGATCGGTCTTCGTGCACATTCCTTTCATGACAACTTTGCATGAACCTAGAATATATGAAAAAAAATTGAAGTGTTTTAATCTAAACAAAAATTTTCAAACTTAATTGATATTACTCGAACTGAATATAGGATTCGTGAAGTCTTCTTTCAAAAATGAAAGCAATAACTTGAATGCAGGCTTTTGTAGCACTCACAATTAGAAAAATATACAAAGTTGTTTCACATATTGTTTTCAAATGCAAATACAACTTTCTAAATTGTACAGAAGAACTGCTTGAAAGTAATCAGAAACGCATCAGCTTAATCTCTTTAATAATTAAAATATTTTGTTGAAATCAATAAATAATTTGGCTCAGTCGTGCGAAAAATTGAAGCAGAAATTATTTTCTCATCACTTGGCACAGATTATAGTGATTGGTGCACAAATATAAATCATGTTATTCATTACTACAGCTTTAAAATAAATACTGGGGTTTAGCTGTTTTTTTCCATATAGCAAATGAAATTTCATATTCAAGAAATCATTTCACTTGATTGTATCACTATTTTTAATGTTGTTTATTCATACTGATAATGAGAGCTGAAATTATTTAGAATTGTAATAAATAAAGAGATAATTTGTGCAATGGCTATTATTTTCATTACGAATGTTACGTTAACAAAATTAAAAGTTAGCAATGTGCTTGAGTGGCAGTATACATTAAGCAAGTGATTGACTTCAGCAGATTAAAAGCTTGAATTTATCGAGAAATAACTGGAAAATTAAAAAAAGGAAGTGGCCCTAAAAAAATTAATTTTGAATTTACTCAATTTATATTTTCAATTGCAAGTTACATAATAACTCTATTACTGTTAACAAGTGAACGTAGTGAACATATGATAAGTTCGAGAAACAACTAGTAAATAGGCCTATACCAATGTCATTCGAAAAAGTTAATGTTTCTGAAAGCCACTCAAGGATTTTATTACTTCTTTTACCGGCTTTAATGCTACATTTAAAATATTGATTCCTATTTTCTGATAAGCTTCTTGTTGACGCTTGTTTATTTGTGCACAGCAGGATAGTAATTTTGAACAGAACTAAAATATCGGGGATGAAGTCAAGTTGCATAAAACACCTTACAAATAAGCATTGAGATATGCAACAAGATACAATTAAGATTAGGTTCTGTAAATTCTACCTGCGTTCGTAGATACACAAAAAGTTATTTTGAAATTCTGATGACTTGTTAACAGTGATAGAGTTATTTTGAATTTACTCAATTTATATTTGCAGTTTCAAGTTACATAATATTTGAAAAAAAGTAAATAATGAATCTACGCACTCCATAAAAATTTCATATTTTCTAACAATTAAAAGTCATTAATATTTGAGGAAGTTATCTGGTTTAACACACGAACAGAACTCTCAAACGTTATTTGCTTTATTGCCATGTAAAATGTCATGCTTTTATATACATTTTAATATATGTAATTAAAAAAAATATTAAAAGTGCGCTTCTATTGATAAATCTGAAAGAAAGAAAACTTTGATTTGAAAACTATGGAGTCCCTTTCCAAAGTTCTGAATTGCGCATGAGTGTGATGCCACCTTATCATTTGAATCACAAATGACTTTTTAAAACAACAAACATTCCATACTGCTTGCATTCTTGAATCAGTTAAATTTATGAAAAGTCGATTTTTCACAGCTCTATTCATTATTCATTGATAAAATAATTATTTCCAGGAGCCTTACCATTGTTGAAGAGTAAATTGGATTTAATATTATGCATATTTGCAGTTAAATGGACGTTACGAAAAATATTTCAATACCATCCATAACCTACATACATTGCATTAGTCACCTATCTTTTAAAAAAAACAGACTAAGTTGTTAAGACTGAAGTATTTTTTCTCCAAGACTGCTTTTATTTCAATCCCAATTTAATAAATCTAAAACTCACTCAATTTAGAATTTTTTCTGTTCCCAGCAAGATGAATTGCAACATTAGAATAAGCATTACATGATGGATTGATAAAGTAGAAGACTAATTTGCTTTCGAATCAGTTTTAATATTTCTGATTGCATTACTCAGTAGAAATGATAACAATGTTTTTATAAAAAAGAAAATTTATAACTAAAAATCATTTCCCGTAAACAAATAGAACCTGTGTGAGCAAATAACACTTATTTCAAAAATAAAACGGGGCGTGAGCCTTAATCGCTGAAGATTAAATTGTGAACAAATTTCATTACTGCTCTCCAAGACCAAATTTTTCATCTTAAAATATATTTAGAATAGCAAATCTGTCGAAGGAAAAAGTGATAAAGCAAATTTTTGCAGCTGAATTTTCAATTTTTTGTTTCAGTTTTTTGCTTCGATTCCAAAATTTGCTCATCTCAACTTTCTGTCCTCAGCTTAGAATAACAGAATAAAAGCTGAATACTTCTGTTAATTTATGTATGGCTGATTCATAGACCAGATAATAATATTGAAATGAATAGCACAAAGGAAAATATGCAGTTAAACATATTTCATTAAGAATAATACAAAAATATTCAAGAGCTATTGTTTCATTTTTTTAGTGATATTTTGATCTACACATTGTCATTTGTTGGATGAGATAGATGAAAATTGAACTGCTAATTATTAATACAGTGCCTAGGAATTGAAAAATGCCATTAGCAGAGGACTGATAGCGCGACTAATCTTATG